AGGGAACAACAAATGAAGCAGCATGTGAAAGGGTTTTACGAGGATTGAGGGGATCCAATGAACGCGATTACTGATGCAAAGGTTAATAGGGTGTACAATGAAATTCAGAATCGCTGGGTTGGTAGCGATGTGGTGAATCATCGGTGATAATGTATGTTCGAACCATAGTTAGTAAGTCAGAATATATTGGCAAACCAAAGCATCAGTAATAAATCAGTTTTGCTTCAAAAAGTCAAGAAAATATCAGGTCAAGAATACGGATCTAGCCCAAATTTAGTTAGTTTAGATAATTGTGATATTTTGGATTTGGTTAAAAAAAAAACCCGTGAAAAAAAATGGATGTGTAAACATAATATAAGATTATGAGTTGCAGTTATCTTATGGATACATTAAAACTATCGTACTATAAATTTGTCTTTACCTAGTATTATTAGAGTCATACTTCGACAAATTTTTGCCTAAACTTTCAATAAATACAACAACAATGTTTATTATGTTATCACGACACAAAACATATGATAGGTTTATTGGGCACATACAATACTGCAGACAAAATACTAAACACAATAACTACAATAGCCAACAACAGAAACTAAGATATAGGATTACCAATAGAAGAAAAAAAAAAACTAAAGGATTGCTGCTAACTAAAACACAAAAACCCAAAAATGTAAAACAATGGTCCGTCTAAATTGTCATGTTGTATACACTAATGAAATTTTAAAAAATAAATAAATGAAAAGATTAAATTTATTAGGCTTCTGTGTGCAAAAAGAAAGCAACAAAATGCTTAAAAAATCTAAATATTCGAAGCTCACCTTAAATTCTTTACTACCTAAATCTTTAGTTGTCATTGAATCTCTCTGTTTGCTCTCTACAATGATGCTTTGTATTTAGAAGGAAAAAAGAAAAATAAAAGATTCTTCGTTGGGTTACTTTTCAGCTTACTCTATTGTTTTGAGATATACGGTTGTTTTGATGAATTATTTTTTAAGAGAATATATGGTACTTTTTAAGGGAACATATTGGTAAAAGAATTTTATGAGTTTTTATTGAAAAAATTTCTGAATTTACTTCCACTTTTAATGTCCTTATCTCTTAACCAAAATTTTAAAATATTAAATCAATGAAGAGATAAAATTATAGGGAGAAGCTTCTATGAAATTTCTTCTAAAAGAGATAAACTGTGGATTTATATTGGTTCCACTTAAAAAAACACAATTTTTTTAATATCTTTTGAAGAACTCGGAGTTCTTAGTGGATTTCAAAAAAGCAGAGATTTTAAAAAAAAAAATCATATTTCAAACATAATATGGATTTCTATGGATTCCACAGAAAAAATCTTGCTAACTATAGTTCAAACTGTTGCAATGTCATATCTTGCCATCTATTTATTGATTGTCCAAGGAAAGATGTAGATACAATGATGGGCATCATGATAATAGTCTTGGGCCCTTGGTTGTTACTGGAAATATAGGCAAGGTAGAACAACGAAAAGATATGCGTCTAATATCTGATTTTTTTAATTTCATTCAAGCTCTCTATCCATACCAGGGTTTAAAAAATTGGTGATCCAGATCGGAGCCAGATCGAGAATTGGTTAGGTCAATCCTGATCCCACAAAATACAAGGAATTGATCAGCTCGTTTTGATCCGGATCACCAATTTTTAAAATATTGATCCATCCCATTCTACGCTCTTTTTTTTTAACATTAATGATACAAGGCAGTCTCCCTTGTCAAGGTAGTGAAAATGATAGCATAGCAACTGTAAAAGATGTATAAATTGTTGTGCAACCACCGAAGTGACCCTCTGCAACCTCAGCTCACATCTCATGCCACACCAACCACGGCAAGCAAGCATTATGAATATCAAGCTTATAAAAGTTTGGAAAAAGAATGCTTAAGGGAATATCGTCCAAGCCATTTAGTTGACCTCCCATCTCCCACCAGTAGAACAAGAAGAGGGACCTTGCTTTGTATCTTTCCATATGGTTGAAGTGCATATACGAAGCCCTTTTAGTCGAAAAACCACTCCCATTTGTGCCATATTTATTGAACAGAACCTCGTGTACCTGTACCTATTCTCCACCATTATTTAGTTAACAAAGTATCATTTACTAGCTCTAATCTTCCCATGCCCAGCCCACTAGCATTCTTCAACAAACAAACTTCCTCCCACTGTTTCTTTCTTCCAAGCCCACCACTCCATAAGAAGTTTCTCATCATGGTTTCAAGTCTAAAGACAATAGAAGATGATGCTTTGGATATAGAAAAATACTACAATGGGAGATTATACCAGCCTTAATTAAGGTGATTAGAAAGATAACGACTCTTTCCCCCCATCCAGCTTCGTGTGAAACCTTTCAATGACTGGATCCCGCTCTGCTCGATTTAATCTTCCTTCCACTAGAGGGAGTGAAAGGTATTTAACTGGGAGAGATTCATGCTCACAACCCATCCACAAAGCCCAATCCTATGTTCACTACTAGTCGCCAAAATAATTAATGCACATATGGTTAGTTTTAGTGAAGTTGATTTTTGACCCAGATATGAGTTGATAACACCTAAAGAACAACCACAAATGTTTCACAGGTTCAAAAGATATTTTAAAGAACAACAAGGTATCATCTGTTTAGTAAAGATGCAAGATAACATGAGCAATTCTTGAGCTGGTAAACTTTTTAATAGTCCATTCCTAGCCACCCCCTTCAAGATTAAACTGAACCCTCCCCTACCAATCTATAGAAAAAAGGGTACAAAGTTTTACCGTCTGAGGCCCTCTAGATGCCTTGAAGTTCTCTACAGCATTTCCATCAATCAAAAGAGAAAAATGGGCAACGAGAAAACCATGGATCCAAAAGTGCCATTTAGTACCATAGCACATAAGATTGAGGACCTCATCTAGATAATCCCACTCTACCTTGCAAAGCTCTCTCAAAGTCAATTTTACACATTAAAATCTTGATACGTTGAGCATTAATAGAATGAATCATCTCTTGGGCGATAAGAATACTGGCCATGACTGTCGATCTTTGATGAAAGCAGAGTGTAGGCCCCCAACCACCTCATCTTCCTTCAATCTATTGGCCAAAGAACTTGGCTAGAATTTTATACACCAATGAGGAGGCTAATGGATCTAAATGTCTTGGAGGGTTTGAATATTCTGCTTTTTTAGATCAAAGCGAGGAGAATAAAGTTAAAGATCTTTATCAATAATATCCCTATGGTAAAACTCTTGGGAAAAGATAATAGGTTAGAGCTAATAATATCCCAAAAATCCCACATAGAATCCATCTGGCTCAAGAGCTTTATCTCTTGGCAGATTGAAGACAACTTCTTTGATTTCCTTCCAAAGAAAACTCATCTTCCAACTCTGGAATACTTCTCAGGCAACTTCTTAAATGGAACTTGTTCCGGATTGAATTTCAACCAAGGCTCAAATGCAAATGTGCAAATGCTTTTTTTTAAAAAAAAAAATCAACAATGCCCTTCTCTTGCCTGGAAAATTATCATCCCCAATCCCTAGAATAGAGATACACTTAATATTGTTAGGCTTTCTTCTAGAGTTTGCAATGGCGTGGAAATATCCATCTCATTCTAAACAACCTTGAAAAATGCTAAAAGAAATACCTAACATGAAAGATCGGTTGCACTTCCATAATAATGGACGGTCACGACAGGCGCGCCCAAGGCACAGTTCATTACAATCTCAAGATGATAAAAATACAATAAAATATCCTAAAAAAATCTCAAAAGGTATTAGATTAAGAATTAAAGTTTTACAAAAACTAATAGTCCGCAAAACAGCAGATAGTATTCCTTTATGGCATGTACAAGCATTATATTTAAGCATTTATATAAGGTTTATATAAGATTGATACCTTAAGAATGAACCTCAAAAATCCTTTGAGAAAAGCTGTTTTGATGTTGAAAAAACATATAATTGATCATCTCGACATCGAGACAAATAGATATGAAGAAAAAAAAGATTTCAAGTCTCAAAAATAAAAGAGTATGCAATACATTATCTAGATTGTCAATTTTCAATAATTTCATGCATTTATAAATTTGCTGAATTATTTTCAAAACATAATATTTTATAATTAGAGATAAAATAAATTATCGCGGCATCTTAAAAATTTTCAACACCAAAATATCTTTTAACAATATCTATATAGGTCTCTAATGTGTTTGAAAAAAAAAAAGCAAATATCTAAATTTTGGATGGTTGGATTTAGGTGTTTACAAACTTAAAATTCAAATGTTGTTTTTTAAAAGTATTCATCCTATAATTCAAGTAACTAGAAGTGGGGTTCAACAAAAATCCTCCTAATAAGCCCTTTTGCCCTTTATTGGGTAGTTCAGAAGGGATCGGGTCCTTTTGGCAGGAATGGAACTCAATGCGCCATATGACGTGGTGACCCATTTACCTTGACCACGTAGCCTTGAGCCCATCCCAAGTTTGCCGAATTAAATGACAGTGGACCCGTTGTTTTTGTCATTCCAATTCCTTCTCCAAACCAAAAAAAGATTCACACAATAAAAACAAAAAACGAACAGATTCAATCTAAGCAAACAAGAATTGGAAATTAACGAGTTTGCTTTTGGGTTGGAGATGGACTTTTCAGGGTTTTGGGTGAGATAGATTCCCATGTTCAGAACCTAGTGGAGACATGCAATGTACAAAAAGCCTCCAAAGGAACAGTATGGGCCCAACCCATTTTAACTCTTTTCAAGTAGTAGTTGGGGTTGGAGACACAATGGAGAGAGAAAGAAATGAAGAGAGAGAGAGAGGAGAGAGAGCTAAAGAGCAATGAAGAGAGAGAGGGCTAAAGAGCAATGAAGAGAGAGAGAGAGAGGAGACGGCTAGAGAGAAGAAGCATATGGTCCTTCGCCCCACCATTGTTGATCAAGACAGAGAGAGGAGGTCATGGTGACTAAACATTTCAAATAGGTTTCAAATAGTTGGGGTTTTGTAACGACAGTATGAAACGAGACATGGAGGTATGGGTGTTGGAAAACATAATCATCGGTCAACTCTTGACTCCAATTTTGACTAATGGGCGAAGATGGATAGACTTAACATGATCATAAATAAGCCCGTTATATACATTTTCATTTTGAACAGTGTAGAATTAACATGTACAGATCCGAGGCTCTAAACAATCGAAAGTGAGCGCACCTTCAAATTTTAATATTGAAAATCTTTGTGATAACCTTGAAATATATTTTCATATCTAATTCTAAAATTTAAAGCTTCCAAAATAATGTTGATCGAGCAGATCGATGAAAACTTGAAAATCATGAAAGGTCCAATTATGTATTACAAGATACACTATTTCCAAAACTTGAAATCTATTTTTTTCTCATATCCATGAATCTTGACGTCGAGATGATCAATTTGAAGATATTTAGGCATCAAAACCACCTCTATTAATGAAAATTTTGAGTTGCGCACTAATTTAATTGTTTAGAGTCTCGGCTCTATATAAACATTTTTCTTTGCTTTAAAGAGCACGTCAAATCCATAGCATCCAACTAAAATAGATGGTGTAAAACATCGCAACCATTCTTGTACAAGTAAAATTACAACCTTATGCTTGTATAAAATATAGAATTTAGTTTTGAGTAGCATTAGAGTTATACACAAAAATAATATTTGCCCCTCATAATTAGAAAAGAGTGCACATGATCTTGAAATAGAATTATACTATTGCTTATTCAAAGTCAGGCGAACAACACGAACCATTGAGCACTGGAGTTAGACTCTTCTTTGAGAAAAAATCAAGTGTTTGAGAGAGTCACAAAATTCGTGACTGGAATGAGAGCTACAAGCCCATTATATGAGGGGAAAAGTTTATGCAGACCCTACGCTCTAAACAATCAAATTAGAGCCTACCTCAAAATTTTACTAGAAGTTAGTTTTGATATTCAAATATCATCAAATTGATCATCTTGACATCAAGATGGATGGACATGAGGAAAAAATGAATTTCAAATTTTATAAATAATGCATCTTGTAATGCATTTTTTACCATCAATTTTCAAGATTTTCAATATTTTAAGTAAAACTATCCCTGTAGCCTACTTTTGTTTGCGCTTTGTTCAAAGTTTTGGGAACCTTATGGTTTATGACTGCTAAATCTTCTGGTCGAACACACACTATACATGTTGAATGATTGCTTATCATTTATGGTCGCACAAATTTTTGTTGATTTGCGTTGCATGTGGGCTTTTGTAGTTGGAACTCAAGTTTGCATTTATTTTTTGTTTGTGGATAACCCCTCTAATGCAGGTGTATGTTATAGACTTTGGCCTTGCAAAGAAATACAGGGACCTTACCACTTACAAGCACATACCATACAGGTCGGTCTATGTCTTATTCGTCTTTTAATCACCTGAGTTATTTGCTTATCCTTTTTCCTCTACCTATATTATTTTTTGATGATTTCACAGGGAAAACAAGAATCTCACTGGAACTGCTCGATATGCGAGTGTTAACACTCACCTTGGAGTAGGTGAGTGAGTAGTTTTACCAGCTATGCATCAATTTGTGATTTTTCAAGAGTCTTAGGTGATGGTTTTTCTTCTTCCTCTGGATGTCTTACCGATGGTTTTTTTCGTGTTGCATCTTATTAGAGCAAAGTAGGAGGGATGACATGGAGTCCCTTGGTTATGTCCTCATGTATTTCTTGAGGGGCAGGTATATTTATCATAACCGTGCCATTGATATTTCTTGTTTTTTATTTGATATTGTTTGATGTTTGTAATGCTTTCTTTCATGATGTACCTCAAAATGAGGAAGGCAGTGTTTAATGATGTTTGTATGATTACTTTGTGTTAGCCTCCCCTGGCAGGGTCTGAAAGCTGGTACGAAAAAGCAAAAATATGACAAAATCAGAGAAAAGAAAATGCTAACCCCAATAGAAGTGCTGCCTTACTATTCTCCTAATTGATCTTTTCATGTTTTTCTTCAGAAAGAAAACTGGCATACATTAGTAAAAAGAAAAGGAAAGCCAATGTGGGGTCCTTTCAATTGTGTGAAGAAGGATTCACATTTCATGTGTGGCATTTTCTTTTTGCCTTTTTCTTGGCTATATGAGTAACAAATTGTGAATTGTTCTGCTTTTTCTTTTCTTTTTTGAATTGAGTAGCATCTTTCATAAATTTTTTTCTCTTTTACTTGTAAATTTAGAACTCTTGTAGTACCTGGCTTGAGTTTTGTGTGTGATTCTTAAACAGGTGCTCTGCAAGTCCCACCCATTAGAATTTATATCATATTTCCACTACTGTCGCTCCTTGTGGTTTGAAGACAAACCAGATTACTCATATTTGAAGAGGCTTTTCCGGGATCTCTTTATTCGAGAAGGTAAGCATTTGGGCTAGTAGGATAATGAATTAGTTAACCTACTCAAGATTTTTGGATGTAACATTGTCCTGCTCTTTGGGCCCGTTTGGGTCCGGGAAAATTAATTTCCAAGATATTTCTTCTTAGAAATTAGGCATCTCCAATGATTTGTAATGGTTGACACCCACATTGGGGGAGGTTCTTCCTGGCATTTCGTTTTTTCCCTCATTTTGGGGAAAGGACCTTCCAACTTAAAGAGATGGGACATTTACTTCTAAAAATGAGTCTTCTTTGCCCCCAATCATCTCTCTTGTACAGGCGCCATCCCCTCTCCCCCTCAGACCCTCAATCATCTCTCCCTCGGAATTTTCAAGAAATATTTGTTTTAGGGAACCAAATGGGTCCTTTATTTTATACCTTTTTTAGGATGGGGATAGTTTCCATTAAAATGGCGGTTTTTTTTCTTGTTGGGCGGAGGTGGGGAAGGGGGGGGGAGTGGGTGATGAAGATGAAGTATAGAGCTGTAGTTATGTTGGCACATGCCATGCAATACATGTAGTGCTTCATTACGGCTGATATCCTTAGAATGTCAGCCCTTGCTTTATTGTAACTTTGTTGTTTCCATTTGCAAATAACAAATTACATGGCAAATATTATCTGAGCATATTCAAATATATTTGTTGTGCACACACTTTACAACTTGGGTTATTTATAAGTCTCACTTCCTAAATGATTTTGTAATTTTCCTTCATTAATATGTATTTTACTTTCATTTATAATGCCCATTTATCATAATATTCTGGGGCTGCAGGTTCTCAGTTTGATTATGTGTTTGATTGGACAATATTGAAATACCCCCAAATTAGCTCGAGCTCGAGGACTCGCGTAAGTTTATTATAGAAATTTGATATATATATGATCTGATTTCTCTTTCTTGAGATTTGTGGGATATGCTAGTCATATTACTGAAAGAATTGATAGCTTTCTGGGCCAACATTCATACCTAATATCTGCTTCTCTCTCTAGCAGCCTGGACTTGCCAGTGGGAAACCAGGAGTGGGCCCCTCAGCAGAAAGGCCAGAAAGAATTTCAGGTTCGACTTATTCTTGCTTTCTTTTGTTTAGAACAAATATTAGCTAATATTTGGTTTCAATATTCAAACATATGGCAGAAATTCTATATCAGCTAATATTTGCTTTCTTTAGCCTTGCCTCTTAAAACGGGGTGACAATCCTAAATCCACACCAGCATACATGGGGATCTAAAAGGACGTAACAAAGCAGAGAGCACAAGGATCTATTAGAATTGTGGTGCTTCGTAGGGCAACAAATGCGATAGGTCCATGGCACTAAAAAGTGCCACAGATATAATACATAGCTCTTTTGGCATTGTGGCATTGCAGATAAGCTAGATTAACACTACAGATGTATGATTACTGTGTGATTATGTGAATAAATGGAGAGAGGTAATTTGTTAGTATCCAAAAAATTAAAGGGATACGAAACCAAGAAATGACTTCATATAAATCACAACTTTAAGGAACAAATATTGGATTGATCTGAATTCATTATAAAACCTTATATCTTGAAGCATTTGGAGAAAACAAAAAATAAAAAATTTGAATACCACCATGGTATAGAACATTTTGGGGGAATTTTTTATATAATGGAAAATTATGGGATGAGTAGAAATTTCTCTTTTTTAATCATGTAGATCCAAAAGTTATGTTTCTCACATTTGACTTTGTATGTGAAGACCTAACTTCAAATATTCAAGATTCCAATTAAAAAACGACTTCAAGTTGTACAGTTTTTTAATCTTGATAGTAAATAGTGAATACTGCATATGCGTGTGAATGTAATCCAACAAATACTTCCCATGAGTTGAGGTGTGGCTTGCTTATGCAAATCACATTATTAAAAGAAGCGTTCCTTTTCATAACATTGCCTATTATTAATTTTTTAAACAACTAATAAAATATTTAGTATAAAAAAAAATAGAGGTTGAATTGGACAGGGGAGTCAGTTACCCTAAATTCTCACGTTATAATATCCCTTCCATGGCTACCTTATCATAGGGTCGTATTCTAATCGTTAGGCACCTGTCCTAACCATTAGGGCGTGATTGTTCCAAAAGCTATAACTTCTATTGTAATTGCACTTCCCATGTTTGTTTGCGGGAAGTGCAATGTTGACATCCAAAAAACATTTGGGGATGCGGCGGCTTCCATTGTAAATGACTTCCAGAGTGCATGGAAGAAACGGCTTTTCAGCCTCTCTTCCATGAATCAAACAACCCCATAATTCCACCAGCTCAGCCCTTAAGAGGTGGTTTAATAGATGCATAAGTTTGATAATGAGCAATCTTTTTTGGTAATGGTTTACCCACCTAGTAGCTCATAATGCACGGCTAATCTTTTAACACCGGGTGTTTCCAATCCAAATGCAAGATATCTCAGGGTCTCGATACACTTGGGGTTTGAATTTCCTATTGCTTTTCGTGTCATTCAAGCATTTAGCTTAATATGAAATTTTCCCCTTCCATAAAATTTCCAATAGGATCTAAATTTGAGATTAACAGATTCCTGACTTCTGATATTCACAAACCAACCAAAACGCGAAGGAGCAGGCCAGCGAGAGAGAGATATGAGAAAAGCATTCATAAACCAAGCAACAGGCATTCAGTAAAATGTTTTGAAGTTGTATTTCACATAGGCAGAATTGTGGACGAGGGACCGTTGATCGACCCAAAAGAAAAGAAAACGGCCAAGATACAACCCCCAAACTTTGTTTTATGCCGTAGAAGAGGCAGTTTTTACAAGCAGAAGTTACAAAGACTTAACACCACAGGCTAAAATGGTCCAACAAAGTCACAACACGGTCTCTCCACAATCCAAACTACTCAAAGCCTCCTACGCCTTCTGCAACATATGAAGAATTCAGAACATATCTTAAGTAAGAGCGAGCAGTCTACAACAGGCTCTTAAGTATCTCACAAATACACATTGCAAGGATCTCAAACCCTAACAAAACGTTCAAAAGCTGGACAGTCAAAGAAGCAAGCCATGGATAGGAATCTCTCTTTATGTAACAATTCAATGAGCTGACAAACCAAAAAGACATAATGCCATCTCCTTACTAAATATAGCAAATGCAGCAGCTTATAAACACCAAGTATAAAGCTAAACAACCGACATTAAATGTGAGCTGACATGTTTAAGCTCATGATAGATGCCCAATAAGTGTCCCTTGAATCCTCTACTCAAATTTATGGCCAATGCATTGAATTTTAGGGCCTTGTGAGAAAAACTACCATGTGCATTTTTAAAGATCTTGGCGCGCCTCATTTTGTTTTTACAATCCCACCTAGACATGGGGCCGGTTTTAGGAGCAAATGACTACTTTAGCTTTTTTCCTATTAAAGTGGTCAACATATGGGCCTATTTTCCTTTCCCATTTTTTCTCTCTAAGCTCTTTTATTTTCCTATTTTGTTTGAGAAACCTTAAATTTCGGGACTCTATCAAGTGAAGATAGCTGTAATCCGCTATTTATGGTGATCCATAATCTAGTGAAGATGACTTTTACAGTGACTTAATATTCTCAGAGCCTTCTCTTTCTTCCTGCTCCTCTTCTTTGTAAGGACACTGGCCAGAAGTGTCAGATTCTGGCCATCTGACAACTCAATTGTGCATCAGAATTCAGCCACGTAAGGCACCCAAACCTTAATTTGGAGGTTGCAGAATTTGTGAATTGCATAGGAAGTTTGGCATTTAGGGTTTCATCCTCGGTGAAAACTCGATCAGTCAAGTCTTGTGACATATTATCATAATAGGGACAGTAACAAAATTGGATTGTCATTCTTCGAATATTTCAAAATAGGATTGCATCAAATGTTGATGTGCATGCTGCGCTCTTCCATAGATGGCTCTTCAAGCTATGTTACTATGGTTAATGATCCCTCTCTTTGTTCATTGGGCTCGCTCTCAACTCTTTCCCCATGGTTTTAGACTCAAGCCACCTTACCCTAAGTGACTCAGCTTATTTGTCATCTGTCTCTCCACTTGGGCATGAGATCATAATGTCTAAGCTCTTGGCTTGGACAGCTCGTAGGAATGCTTTTCTTAGCGAGCACGAGAATTGAGGCAAATGAGATGTAAAACCTTTGGAAAACTTCGATAAGGTGTAGGAACTGCTTATTGAAAGTAAAACCCGTTCGATGCAAAATACTTGTGTTGGCCATATATCTTTAAACAGTTCGTGCCCGATATACTAGGAGCCAAGGGCTTGGACAGGATGGTTGGCTCAGGTATTATCAGTGATTCTGTGGGGAAAACTGGGAAAATTTAGAGTGAGAAGTTGGGTTTGAAAGGCCTAGCTGGGTTATAGATTGGATGGGATCATTCAGAAGACAATGGGGGTCTCGAGTTCCATTTTGGAAAGAAATGGTAGCTCTTTTCTTTGGGTGATGAAGTCGGTGTTTACCTGCAGATTCATATGGGGGTTTAGTTATCTCTCTGTAGCTTGTAAATTACTGGGTTCTTTTCTTTATCATCTTAAAACGGCTTTGGTTCAGCAGGTGGAGGTTTCCATGGATGGAGACCAAAGGTCAAGATATAGAACGGGAGGCAGGACCAAATATTCAGGAGAATACGGGGGAAAAGGCAAAAAGAAAAGTTGAAGAGATTGGCTAGGTTAGAGAGAGAAATGGTAGAGGATAAAATGAAAAAAGAGATAAGGGGTTCCAGGACTTGGATAAACACTCAAAAGAAAAGGTTTCAAGACTTATGATTCACCATCCAAGCTTAGAGAGAGAAAGATGATAGAGAATGAAAAGCTTATTTGAAAGTCACCGTTTTATTTTTAATAGGAAGAGGGAAAATTTGGCACGTGAAAATGGGAGAGCAAAAATCAACATAAAAAATAGAAGATGTCAAATGTCTTAAAGAAAAAGTCATCATTTTTTTCTTTAAAAAGCCCTTGACTTTAGAAAGATTTTCTCATGATAAATTCTGGTCAATTTGGAAACCCTAATACAATTCCAACAAAGTCAGACTACAGGATTATTTTGAGTTTTCCCGCAATTACTGTTGTAGTAGAAAGCCTTTCAATAAAAACAGGATGGTACTTTCACAGACCCTTTTCTTTTGGGGTGGAGGGGGCTGTTAACATATGTTCAAAGACAAGGTTATGGTTCATGAATGGTTATTAAGAGAAGGGAAGTTACCAAAAAAGTAGTTACGAAAAGGCAGAATTTGCTTAAACAAAGGAGTACATGATCGGTAGGTAAGTTGAGCAAAAGATGGAAAGACACCATGTTAACAGGTTGGCAGTGAATATTAGGAAGATTTGCATTGATCCTTTCCACTATAACTTGATTTGGATATAAACTGATTAGTGCTACAGGAAATAAACATTAGATATTTTAGAAATAAATAAATGGAAAATTGAAATGCTACATGCTTATCCATTCAATAGTCAGTTTCAGCAATGCCTTTATATTTTAAGGGGGACAAAGGAGGCGTGCCACACTTTTTCAGCTGAGTGGGGGCCTCACCAATTACTTTTCCTTTAAGTTAATTGACAAATTTATTTTTTATATTAAACAATTTTTTTGTAAAAAAGTGTAGAAAGACCATTTACTTTTAATACAAGGAGGTCACAATCACTCTCGTTCGTCATATTTCATATCGGAGGTTATGAGTATGTCACTAACTAAAACTTTAAAAAAATGCTAAAATCTCGAACTTTATGACACACCCCAAAGCATCCAATTTGTCATCTAATGGTCAGTAGCAATTGTTACCTCCTTGTAACAAGCATGAATGGTCTCACATAGTATACAGTCCCTTTTCTTGTATAGTGCATGATATTTGAAGCAAATTGTTATGTCATATATAACAAACATTAGTTTATAGGACAGATTTGTCCTTTAATATGTAAGTAGTATCTACAAAAAACAAGAAATCAACTCACAAGATCGCACACCCAACTAAAAAGATCCTCACTATAATATCCCAAAAATGTAACCGGTGACTAAGTATAACTCATTCCCGTAGGAGATCCTCTCTTTGAAAGCATGAACACCAAAGAGTGACAAATTGGATTTTTACCCACTCAATCCAGCCAGCATGTGCCATAAGTGGGCTTCCTTGAAGAAAAGGAAAGAGGAGCAAACAGCCTGAAAACGCAACTAAAAAGACCCTCCCTATAATATCCTAAAACTCCCAATCGATAATATCTCAAAATTGATATCACTGACTTAAGTATAATTCAATCCCATAGGAGATTCTCTTTTTAAAAGCATGATCACCACATACGCGAAGACTTGAATTTTTGGCCACCCAATCCAGCAGCCTGTGGCAAGTGGGCTTCCTTGAGGAAAGGAAAGAGGAGCAAACCCCCTGAAAAGGCAAGTTATGAAAATTTTGCCTTTCCACACACTACAAGGCATCCACATGCTATTAACTATATATCCCTCACACTTGGAACAAGTGTATGATTACGTGATCTTTGTAGGACAAGAACCTACAAGCATTGTACATTGAATACATGCAACTGAAAGGTGTTCCACAAGCACTAAAATGACAGCAGGACAATACCAAACACCATTGGGAATAAACATGAGGCGCCTAAGACAGAGACATACAAACAACTGTTCAAAACACTCCATATTAGCAACAGCCCATATACTTGGACATATCTGGGTATATATTTGCGACACCTTGGGCGAAGAGGCAGTGCATATCACAACTATCCCTAATTATGCAATAGTGATAGGAGAACTCTAACTGGTTTTCTGCTCAAAATTCCCTCCTAGCCTTGGGCAGTCCTCAGAAAATGACACGGACCACTATTAGAACTACCAACTAGACATACTGTCCGGCTTTCAAAGGCATACATTGTTGATTCATTGGACCATTTCAAAGAACAGCGAATCTAGAGATTACTGCAAAATGTGGATTCATTCGACCATTTTAAAGGCATTCGTTTGAATGTTTTGAAATAGATTGCTCACTCAGCACGTAAGTTACTTCTCTTGCTAGGCTCCTAGCTAAGAGGGTTATGGTAAAATATATAAGGTGCTGCCTTAAGCGAAGAAACGGTGCTTACTAGCGGTTGGTGCTAAGAGAAAGACAATTGAACGGCATAAATTGTTGTATATTCCCACGATGTGCAGAAGCGGACCACATGAGACTGCTAAATTACGCAACTACAATCCACTTTGTTTGAGATTAAGGATCTTCCTAGAATAAAATGTTCAAGCTACCAGGGAGAAAACTTACATGAGCGACCAGCATTTCAGGTCAATCAACAGTGCCCGTGAAGTTAAAAGATAAAGGGTACCAAAACAGTTGATTATATGTAAAATTGAAAGGAAAAGTTAACCTTTGAAATCAAATTTAGTGGCAAGTTTGGATGGACCGCCAAACAAAACGTCTAATTTTCTAACATGGTAGTACACTCTTCTGCAACACTACCCGTCCCATTTCGAGCACTGCCTTATGTGGAAAACACCGCATATGGTGGTAAACAAGAATAGCCGTAGAAATAAGAAAACCACTACCATTATACTAGAAATTCAGTAATACAAACAGATATTGAAGGACCAGTCCAAACTTGATGCAATGTATTAACATAAATGTCAAATAGTTAAACAAGGGCAAATCCATCAGTTGATTAATTTCAGTATGGTAACTCAAACCCATCATCAATGCATCAAAAACTCAAAATCCTAGGCAATACTATGTACTGGTATTGTGGACACCCCATTTTGAATTTGGCAAATTTCATGATTTCCTGGTATTAGAAATCCTTAGAAAGCTTTTAGGACCGCATTATTCCAGATCACCTTTGGACCACAAAGCACCATAGTTCATAATCCTTATCCTTTAAAAGCCTTATCCAAATTTGAAAATGATCGAAAAATAGAATAAATATCGCGTTTAATTTCAAAAACAAGATGATAATTATCCAAAAACGCATGAGAGTTATCGAGAGTCAAAAGTCCGCGGATCTGAGACATTTTGACTCGTGCAACACAGAGTGTATTGCCCAGTGCGACACACTTAGAGTGTGTCACCTAGTGCGACACAAAGTATCGCCCAGGCCACTTTGTGTCAATTCAGTGAATTTCATCCGTATTAGCCCATGCGACACAAAATGTGTCGTCCAGTCCAACACACAGTGTGTTGCCTAGTGCAACACAATGTGTCACTCAAGTAATTTTGGGTTAGTTCATTGAATTTGGTCATTTTTAGGCCATGCGACACAATCTGTGTCGACTAGTCACGTTTGACCAAAGCAACACATTTTGTGTCACCCAAGCTTTGACCATTAGATTTGAGCCCTAACCACCTGGATAAGCATTAGAAACCAATCGCCAACCTCTTAGAGGTCTATAGAAAACCTGAATTTGACCTCTTTAAAGTTGGTCAATCAAGTCTTGCTTAGAGCCTCTGAGTGCATAAAACCCTTAGACTTCTAGGATCATCCATCCATCCCATTTGAGAAACCCTAAAAGCAATCTTCAACCTTTAAGTCAGCAACCCATAACGTTATTTCAACCAAACCAAGGCTTGGTCAGTTCTAAAGAGGAAAATGAGAGTGTACGGCATAAACTCAGCCGCGGTCCTGATACGGGGGACGCTCTAAAGCCTCGGGTGTCCCAAGCAATCGGCCCAATCAAGTAAGTCTCATTCCACAATGTCCATTTCATTTCAGTTACTTTAATTAGATCTAAATCAGTTTGATAGCATTTCTTTTAGTATTTTATACAAGGATCGATGCTGGCTCTGCCGCTGATCTAAGAGAATATTTATTCATATCTGAATAGATCAGCCCTTAGATCAGAATTCGATTGATCCCACTTCTCTATCATTTTTGAAATAACAAGTTTGTAGTGCCAGATCTAAGGATCTTCACTTGAAGATCTCTCTGATTTTGCGTTGTAAACAGCTTGGCGTCCACAATTGGGCCTTTCGAGCTACATCTTTACACACAAATATGCTGCTTTTTCCCTGTTTTCTTCTATTTTTCATTCTAAAAAGAGCAAAAAGTGACTAGCTTTGAGTCCAGGATCTATGAGTTTTCAGGATCCCTTAGTGCAGGCTGCTCTGTCTGCCTACTGCGACACACAGTGTGCCGCCCTACCTGCCTCTGTCTGCTTGGGCAGCAAAATTAGAAAGATCTTCAAGTGAAGACCCTTAGATTTGACATTATAGACTTATTATTCCATAAATGATAGAGAAGTGGGATTAATCAAATTTTGATCTAAAGGCTGATCTATTCAAATATTAATAAATCTTCTCTTATAGATCAACAGTAGAGCCGGCAGTGATCCTTGCACAAAATACTAAAAGAAATACTATCAAACTAATTCAGATCTAATTAAAGTAACTGAAATGAAATGGAAATGGTGAAAGGAGACTTACCTGACAGGGCCAGTTGGCTCGGGACACCCGAGGCTTTAGAGCCTCGGTTGTATCAAGACCGCAACTGAGTTTACACCGTGCGGCCTACTTTTCCTCTTCAGAACTGACCAAGTCTTGGCTTAGTTGAAATAGGTTTATAAGTTTCTGACCTAAATGTTGAAGATTGCTTTTAGTATTTTATCAGATGGGATGGATGGATGATCTTAGAAGTTTAAGGGTTTTTTACACTCAGAGGCTCTAAGCAAGACTTGATTGAACAACCCTAACGAAGTAGAATTCAAGCCTTTTATGGACCTCTAAGGGGTCGGTAATCAGTTTCTAATGCTTATCAAGTTCATTAGGATTCAAAATCCAAAAATCTGATAGTCAAAGATTGGGCGGCACAACGTATCGCTCTGGTAAAATGTGGCCAGTCAACAGACTGTGTCGCAAGACCTGAAAATAACCAATTTCAATAAACTGACCCAAAATAACTTGGGCGACACACTCTGCGTCGCACTGGCTAATACTAAATAAATTCTCTGAATTGACACAAAGTGTCATGCGCGACACACTCCACAGTGCGACATAAAGTGTGTCGCACCAACCAATGTCTCAGATCCACAAAATTTTGACTCTCGAAAACTCATGTGTTTTTGGATAATTATTATCTTGTTTTTTAAATTAAACGTGATATTTATCCTATTCTTGGATCATTTTCAAATTTGGATAAGGCTTTCAAAGGATAAGGGGTCATGGGATGAGGATTATGAACTATGGTGCTTTGTGGTCCGAAGGTGCTCTAGAATAGTGTGGTTAATGCTTTCTAAGTGTTTCTAATATCAAAAAAATTAATGAAATTTGCCAATTTCAAAATGGGACGTCTACAAGTATTCAAACCAATAAGACATGAATTTGAAATACAAAGGATTTTACAACAGTGCTGAACTTACAAGAAAAACACAAGAATACACGGAAATAGCAGCCATAAATACCTAAAAGAATATTCATCAGTTGCCCTTAGTTCCACAACATACAGTGTTACCTTAAGATCACTGTGGATTAGTCATTTAGACGATTAAAAGCAGAATATAACATTAAGAAATATATAATATTTTGAGTGGCAAAATGCTACTCAAAGGAAATATGAAGAAAATGTTAATTTATCTTAAGGAAGAAGGGTGGCAGTTAACGCACGATGCAAGAATACATACCACTTCACCTAAACTCGTAAGGGCCACAGCAGCCTCAGCATTCTTTCTAGAACTCTGGAAATAAAAACAATACAAGACATTATTACTTCACGAATTTCGTCAAGAAGAAATTATTTGGAATTTCATGCAATCTTTTACTAAATGTGGTATACTTATTTTGTCAAGTGCATAAAACCAAACCTTATGTGCCTTCATTGTTTTCTTCTTCTTCTTTTTTTTTTGATAATTAAAATTTCAATTTAACTACAAAAAACTGTTCCAAAAAAAAAAATTAGACCACACAAATAAAGCATTGAGTTCATATGGTTCAGCTAATCATTATTTTGTACTAGATCACTGTCTGACAGTTCTTAGAAACGATAAGATGTTCTTTTGTATCAGTATATATGGCAATAATTACTTCACTACTACCGCCTCCCATTGATGAATTTGTATCATAGATGGCAATAATTACTTCACTATTACTTCACTACTACCGCAATAATTCCTCTATGATGTCCAAAATCCTTTATGCAAACAGACCCTCAACTCTTACTCATCTAATGACATTTCAGGAATCTACTTCCACGATAATAACGCCAAAAGAGATGTAGGGTGACCATACGAACTTCTTACCAATTTTCAGACTGTTATTAATTATTTTTTACATTTTCCAACAAAGCCTTCATCTAATTTTATTGATTTTCGACCAAGTCAACCAAACTTGCCAATAGGTATTTTTAAGAGCGAGTTAAAGTTTCTGAGATTTGAGTGAAATCACCATGTTAACAATGTGGCCGTTTACATTATTGTTAGCTCAAAGTTAACAACCACTTTGCATTTTGGACAAATTTCAAAAGCGAAACATGACACTTAGCTTAGTTACTTAGCTTAGTTGACAAAATAAGCAATTGGCCCTAAATCTGGATGCCAATATGCATTCAGTTGCAGGCACGGCTTCTTATGCACTAGACAGATTAGGTTTTGTCGCCATCTTTGGATGCTACATGTTACCCCCGTTTAGGTGCCGATAAACACCAAAGCATTGGCATATTGTGAGTGAAAAAGTAGATAATACTAAATCTAATCTAATTAGCAAAAATGGTACTTTTTATAAAACTCAAATGGAGCCAAACATAATATAAATTCAATAATGCAACATAATCTAATCACAATAATGCTCAAATAGGAGAAATACAGGACACCCAGAGGAGATAGAAGGCTTCGGGGTCAGGGAGATTGATTGCTTAATAGGTTTTGGTACGTAGGTGGCAATGACATTTTTTGAATGGAAGAGGACCAAACCTTGTGCTAGTGCTAAACCTAGCGCCTTTGATTTTTGGGTAGCTTTTGCAGTGTGGCCAAAGCTTGGATGAGTATTCACCAAGTAAAAAGACCGATGTCTGTGAATGGGAAAGGCAAGGTACTGAAGTTCAGTGAGTCGGGTAATCACTTATGCAGGCATGCTTCCCAAAAATTACCTTCTTAGAACAGAACCTAAGGATGTCAATTAGGAAATAACTTAAGAAAAAACATTAACTATACAATACTGTTCAAAAGCAACCTCAGCAGCCATCTAGTAGCAGGAAATCCGCCTGGCCAATGCCCAGTAGGCCTGCCGGAGCCAAGTTAACTCCAGGAACCTGTCTAGGGAATCAAATAGGTCCTAAAGCACTAGGCAGAAGCCTGGACTGCCCAAGCAGCTATTAAGACCATTTTCAGATTAAAAAATATATATATATATATATATATTGCTCTTGCAGCTCTAGGCACCTGTCCTGAATGCAGGGAAAGCAGTTGCCTCATCACATAAAAAACAGCCTTACAAATTTCAATACATTGGCATCCATAGTTCCAAAAGATTCTTGGGGGACAATATATTCAGGAACTGCATTATGTTCGAAGTATCTTAGAGCTTGTGTTCGTCACTACAGGTTAGATTGTTAACCGGATATGGAATTACAGTGGTGCTTTCTCATTCGGATAATTATTCCTATTAATGCAGCCCATAAATGATGATTACTAATCAGTTCACCTTGTTTAGGATGTCAGTCGAGACCATTTCAAATCAACCAACATGGATGGCCCTAGGCTCCCTCAGGATAGGAATTGAGCTTGAAGCAGCTTAGACCCAGGTCCAATCCTAGGGGTAGGAAGTACAACAACACTCGTCAATTTATGAATCACATCAATTTATTGATCAGGTTCAATATTCAAAACACAACGAACTCTTTTATGCTAAGGCTACAAAAACAATGAAATTCCTAATACATCGTCAGAGTGTATCATACAATATACCGAGGACAATTCTTCTTTAGTATACCCCAAAGAAAACTACCAAACCAGGTACTTTCCGTCCCTGAGGTCCTTTTACAAGGAGGGCACCAAACCACCCTAACACCTCACTCTTTCATGTAACAAACCTAAAGTAGCAATATACACAACACATATTCAGAGCTGCCACACTTCATTACACCTCAAATTTTCTACTCTAATCCCAAAAATTAAATCTCAGCCATAACTTAATTCACTCTTCTTCTGAAATCCTAGTATTCCTTCTTGACACTTTAAAGAACACCATTTTTCTCTCATGATTATACTTCCTCTCCACCACTTTAACATAAAGCCCTCAACTCTTTACTAAAATGTAAGTGTCATTTGGCCAAAAGGACTTTGTTCACCTTCCTCGTGTGCATGATCCCCAAACCACCAAGATCTAAGGTTTGAATACAAACTCACAATGATCAGGAGATACGTGTGACTGTTATTGCAGACTCACTATATGAATTTCCTTGGAACTCCTTACTGATGTTTTAGGCCCCCCCACTGTGATGTGAAAGAGATCACAATGAACTGAAATATGGCAAAATGAAGCCCTCCTAAGGGCATTTATCCCTCCCAAAGATAAGAAGAATTGGCCCTTCTCAATGGTAATGTTTGCTAAAGATTCTCAATCACCACACCAAGGCCCGTGACAAGGTTGCTAAAGCAAACAAGCTAGCCAAAGTATACTTCCGGAAGCTCCTCTTGAGCCATTACCTCAAAGTCCTCTCACCTTCACTTCTTCTTTCCCTACCTTGCCCTTTGTAACAGAGGCCATGGAGCAGAACAGCAACCTCCCATTCAACTGTGAGGACAAAACACCCTTCTAGCACCCTCGCAAAGCAGGTGTTTGCGTTTAGGAAGTAAAAAAAGCGGCCCGTAGTTCAAGTCAAACAAATAAAGATAAGAAAGTACTGTGTTTAGAGAGTCTCATATTTTTTGTGAGTAAGGTGTTATGTTATACTTTTTATGATTTTATTTTTACTTTTTTTTGAAGTTTGGCTTTACATTTACAATGAAACTTTTATAAGTGTTTCTTTTTTAAAAAAAAAAGGGGCTATTTTTGTGATTATAATATATTTTTGGCTATGTTTCTACTTGATAATGCACCTATGAAAATTTATAATATTTTTTTGGTTATATTTGGCTTTGTTTCTAATTTATGATGCCAAGTTGCCCCCCCCTCCCAACCCCAAAAAAAAAAAATACAGCGGCAGCCCGAGTCACTAGGCGGGTAGCCCCATCGTCTTGAACATTACCATGAAGTACTAGACTCGAACTCGAGTTGGGACGAGCCTCCGGGTCAACTCGACCCAATTGATAGCCATAGTCATAATTATTGGGTACGGGAACGGGAACGGTTCCGGGATCGAGACGGGATTGGCGGATCGAAGCTATACTGAAGATCCTTGTGTTAGGAATCGATACCCGTACAACCTCAAAGGTCAGGATCGAGGTCCATGTGCGTTGGAGATCATGCTCCTTTATTACATAGGATCGAGAATTATTATATAAAGGTGCGAGATCCTATACGTAAGAAGCAAAGTTCCCAAGGGCATTTTTTTTAGTTTCTTAACTCAAGGAGCGCATTACTAAAAGTGATCCAAAATATTATGGAGCGAGGAATAAGTTTTATAGGAGCGAGCTCCATTTTCTTAGAACACGAGTTCCTCGTGTAGGTAATAAGGATCAATGGCTTTAAAATGTAGCTCCCGGAGTTGTTAACCAATAACATGTAGGCTTAGTCCTTCTATGAAATAAATAAGGAACTTTAAAGCGATCCCATATTAGTGGGATCTGGATGCCATATATGGCGATGCTTGTGTTCCGTTATTTTGGAATCTAGATCCCAATGCACTCTAGAGCACGAACCATAAGACTAAGGAACTAAATCTTATAATGTTCAAGAACGCGAAATTAAATTGTAAGGAACTCGTTCCCTTATAAGATGAAATGAGATCCCAAAAATACTAAATTGAGTTTCAGACGAGACTTGTTCCAGCATCGAGAGAATCGAGGTTCTGCAAGGGATCGCCAAGCATGGGAGGAGATCTTCATAACTATGGCCATAGTTGTAAGGTGGCTCTTAGGAGGAAGAGGAGGCTCATCTTTAAGCTCCTCAAATGCACTAGTCACTTTACTTTACTTGCCTGGTAAGTGGGGGTTATTCATTCTCCTACTCAAGTCAATGGCCACTTACACGCACAATGTATGATACTCCTACAATCTCTCAATACAAATTATCATATCCTCAACTTTAAAGGCTTCGGCAGTAAGAAAAGAAATAACACTCCCGACAAAGTCCATTGTCAACCTAGAGAAGACTTGATAGCATCGTAAGATCATCTAACACAATAAATAACATCTTGACAAAGTCTATTCACATCTTAGAGCAAACAATTATGCAACATAATGAGATCATCCCTATGAACTCGAGAAGTATCAGATTTTCTTCGCAAAAGATAACAATTAATCGTTGCAAACTAGAGACAGATAATAGTCTATGATGCATAAATACCATAATCATTATTATATTACACATGTTTCTGAAATATCAAACACATATTCAGCACCCGATTTTATGTATTTTTAAGCATTTGTGTGCCATAGATGATTAACACCTCCCGACCATGGAATCTCTCTAAATAAGCCCCCTTGCAGACACCGTACAATGTATAAAAAAAAAGAAATGCAAAACATATACTCAAACAAGTAAGATACATCAATTACATATAAAAAAACAGGCAACAAAG